AAAAAAAAAAAAAAAAAAAAAAAAGACTGTTAGCCATCCAGGAGGAGGTGGAAGGGATCACTGCAATCTGCCCAAGGTGACCATGTGTTAGTTGTGACCCTGGAGGGATAATTCCATCAATTTGAATAGGACTAGTATATGTTCATTATCACCACCATCATCATCCTCCCAATTCTTCCTGGGAAGATCATCCCTATGATCCCACAAGCCTGTCGGTGAAGGTTCCTGGCAGTGGGGTTGGTCCAGAACAGAATTAAACTTGAATTTGATGGATTTAAGCCAATTTCTCTCAAGTCTCATGCAGAAAACAAGCCTTCATGTATTGTTTTGTATTTTGCTTTTTGTTGTCCTCATCTTCCCAGAGTTGAAATATCATGGAGACCCTCTTCCCAGGGAAAGAAAGGGGGAAATTTGACCGCTGGAAAGAGTGAGAGTGAGATCTCCCGACTTTGCATTCCTGAAGACTGCTTGGGCCTGGTGAGACAGGCATGTTTTGTTTGGATGCTAAATTAAGTGGAGAGGAGACCTTATGATGTGAGTTTGGCAGAGGAATAAATCAAATAAAACAATAAGGCGAGCAGTTATCCAAACAAAATGGGCTTACAACCCTGGATATTAATGAGGCTTTTACTTTAAACAGATATGTTTAACCAAGCAGCATGAATCCATATTGGGAACTGGAGGAATTATGGAGATTGTGTTGGAATCCTGCCCAAAAGAGGTTTGACTATGTTATCTTGTGCTAACAGGAGCGCCCAGGGAGCAAGAGAAGCCCTGAGACAGTGGCAAGGGACACTGTGGGGCCGCAGTATAAGTAACCTGTGTCCTCCCTCCCTCTTCAAATGAGAGCTGGGGTCCTGGAATTGGATCCCAGACATCAGCACCCTGAAATCCATGAGATAAGGTGAGGTGGGCTGGAAAGGCCTCAAGGGAGGAGAGGAGGCGGGACAGGAGGGATAGGGATGCAGGCTCTAGGAGGAGGGAGATGCTTCAGCATCATCCAGCCCATAGCTGTCTATCTCCTTCTCGAAATGAGATGCTAATGGCAGGGTGAGAGGATCGCTGAGAGAGAGGAAAAGGAGTACAAAGCTGTATAAGCCATAATGCCTGGCCCTCCCCAGACCTATTCTCAGAGGACAACACAGGATTCTCAGTGACAGCACTTAGGATGCAGGGAGGGTCTTTGTGCTTGTCATAAAGTGCTTATAGGCAGTGCTGTTTCAGGGGGAAAACATGCTTGAACAACTTCCTGGAATTTCCTTCTCAGAATAAGTATGACAGATTGGCATTTTAGAATCTTGTGTTTGACAGTATGACACAAACAGATAAAACCACAATGATGGAATCAAATAATAAAATAGGCTATGACCATGCATTTTCCCTCACCTATGTAGTAATAGAAACTATATTATCTCAGGTGCTTTTTAAGAACATTGCTAAATTGCCTTCCATTTTTCCTGGGGTGGCACTTGGTGGTTAGTACTGGGAGGAGCACAGGGAGAGTGGGCAGAGGTGGGAGCAGAGTCTAGCACCTATAGTTCTGACACCTGTCACTCACTTGCTATGGGGGTGAGGAGGTTGGGAGAGTAGGTTTTACCACCAAAAAAGCTTTTTTAAAAAGTGTATAATCCATTGACTTTTAGTATAGTCACAGAGTTGTACAATTATCACCAAAACCAATTTTAGAACATTTTCACAATCTTCCGGAGAAATCCAATATTCTAGAGCAACAACTCCCCATTTTCCCTGAAGACTGCCATCTCCACCCCAGTCTAACCCTAGGCAACCACTAATTGACTTTTTTGTCTCTATAGATTTCTGGACATTTTGTATAAATGGCATCATACAATAAGTGCCCTTTCGGGTGACTATCTTCTTTTACTCAGCATAATGTTTCCAAGCTTCCTATAATATCTTTTTGTTTAGATGCATCCAGGAGGGATGGTCATGGTGGACCTGAAAGACCTGAACAGAGAGCCTTTGTGAGGAGCTGAGCTGAGCTGAGCTGGCATTTGGAAGCAGAGCCTCAGGGAGACCCAGTTCTGATGGAATTGAGAGAGGGCGACGTGGGAGTTGGTATAAGGAAAGTCTTGTAGCAGAGGGCGCTGCGACAGGTGCTCTCAAAAGGACCTTCAGCCTGAGAAGTGTAAGAGTTAAAGGAAAGAAACATGAAATGTGGCTTGACAGTTAAAGACAGATTTATTTTAGAGAAAATAAACCTGAGAGGGGCTTCTGGCCGATTTCAGTCAGGAGTGCTTGCTATTACAGACTAAGAGTACATGTTAGTTTTAGGGCGAGGGGGCTTATTGCAAGCTTGGAATATTTCTGTGTGAGGGAGAAGTTTTATGGTGGGATTAGAACGTCTCCAGGAGGAGGGGAGGTTATCTTGGGGATGACATCTTTCCAGCTGGAGGGGTGTTATCTTAGAGATGGCGTCTTCCCAGCTGGAGTGGGGTTATCTCAGGGCTAGCATGTCTCTGGTCGGGGAGGAGTTTGAAATGTTTCTGGTTGGAGATGTTATTTGTGGTTTAAGGTCATGCGGACCTTAGCCGTTAGGCTGATGCCCTTTGGATTTGGGTGGTTTTTGATTAAGGTAAACCTTAGAATGAGGAGCTTGTCCAAGATGGTGATGCTTCTGCTCTGCTGAGAAGCAGCCTGGGAGGCAGGTGGGAGCACTGTGGGTCCAGTTCTGGTGGTCTTTAAGAACAATCCACTAGGGATTTTCAGTGGACAAATCACAGGGATGTCGGCTCAGTGGAGCCTTAGATTTAAAAAGTCTAAGTAGACTTTTTTTTACAAGTCCTCTGGCACTCCTTCATGGAGAAGTGGGGTGTATGTGCCTTCTCTAGGCATTGGATGGGCTTGTGCTGGTTTTCACCTGTGATCAGAGCATGGCTTGGAAGCCCAGGCCCTCCAGGAAGTCCCTGTCTAGGTGCCCCTGTCAACAGCCCTCACTGAGCTGGGCTTTTCAGTCTACCCAGCCTGGGTACCAGATGTGGGGAAGTTTCCGGCAGGGAAGCCTTCAGCCCATGCCAATGAATTCTTCCCAGCTGAGGCCCAGACATCAGGAGCAGAGACAAGCCATCCTCATGCCCTATGTCAGCCTGAAATAAGTGAAAGGATTGGGATCCGCTTTAAAGAGTTTATTCAAGCAAAAAGCTGGAAAAATGTTTTCCATTCGGAAAACAAGGATTCCACAGAAATGGAGTTAGTGCTTTGAAGTCCAAAGTTAAGATCCTGCTTATGTAGGAGGAAAACAAAGAAATTTAACAGGATTATGACATTTTCTATACAAGCCTGGTTTATGAGTTCTAACAATTTATAGTTTTTTTTTCTTTTCCGTATGGCTTGCTTTCATTTATTTTCTAACTTAAAGGAATATATTTAACATAGTCATGAAGTCTGAATTATTTATTTTCTCACCTATTTACATTCCAAACTCACAGCATCAGTGAGCATTAGGAACTGGTGTTTGGCAACACTATATTTTGGGATGACCTGCTACATAGCAATAATAACTGGGATAGGCCTCAAGGTGCAGCTGCTTGGGCAATAGTAGTATAAATTGACTCAGTGTTTTTGGAGATAGAGGGAATTTTGGTGGTACTCTGAAGAATCATAGATAAATTCTACACACAAAGGTGTTAATGAACAAGAACATGGGAAAATTGCATGATGCTGAGGTTTGGAGTATAGATCCTGTCACCCCAGTAATAAGTATAGTACCTGATAGGCAGTTTCATTAGCCCATCCCCACTCCCTCCACTCTCTGGTAGTCCACAGTGTCTATTTTTCCTATATTGTCCATGATATACCACTTGCCTGATACAAGGCAGCTGTGCTGTGAAAGATAAATATGGAGACCTTGAAGGAAAAAAAAAAAAAAAAAAAAAAAAAGGGGGGGGGCGGAATACAGAAGAGTGTTGATGGAAAAACCAGAACACAGAATTCTACATAGGCCTATGTCTATACAGAAAGAGAAACACATGAATCATTGCTTTTGTGTGAACAGTAGCTTTTGGTTGGTGTTTTGGGCTCAACTGCATTCCTCAAAAATATATATGCTGAGGCCCTGACTTCCAGCTCCTCGAGTATTTGGAGATAGGGTCTTTAAAGAGAAAATTAAGTTAAAAATGAGGTCACTAGGGTGGGCCCTAATCCAATATGACTGGTAGCCTTACAAGAAGAGATTAGGACACAGACACGCACAGAAGGAGCCATGTGAAGACACAGAGAGAAGACGGCCATCTGCAAGCCTAGGAGAAAGACCCTGGAGGAAGCCAACCCTGCCAACACCTTGATCATGAACCTCCAGCCTCCAAGACTGAGAAAATAAAGTCTGTTGTTTAAGCCACCAGTCCATGATACTTGGTTATAGCAGCCCTAGCAATCTAATACAGCTTGTATTGTAGAAGTGTTTTAATTATTTAGATTTAAATTGAGCCAGGAATCCTTAAGGCCCGCAACCTCAGTGATGAGCACTTTTTGTAACCTTACTGCAAAGAGTGGTCAATGGCCTCTTAAGGCATTAGAATAATATTATTGTTTATGAACTTACTTGGGCAGCTTACAAGCCATAGGGGGTTAAACCTAGCAGTCTTTGAAAAATAATACAAGAAAGGCCATGTGCTATCACAAGTACTTTATTATTTCATCTTCTGAAAATCTGCAGAGCATATGTGTGAAATTTTATCTCTATTTAGGGTGTTGTTGCTTCCAAAGGCTCAGCTGCTCTCCTTTAGCTGGTGGGGAGGCAGGGAGGAGGAGGGAATCCACCCAGCTCTAACTGTGTTGTGATTTATTTCTCTTCTAATCACATTCCCCCATGGCCTCAGGCTGTGTGTGTGGCATAAAATTAGCCTTATAAGAGGTCCCAATTTTAGGTTTTCTTCGCCTGGGGGGATGTAAACTTTTGATTAATTTTACTCTCCCATTCAATCTGGGCTTCATTCCTCCAAGCACCCAGTTTCCTGTGTGACACAGGGGCACAGAGGGGACTGGAGTTGCCCTATGGTGTGGAGAGAACAAATATTACTGCATAGATGCCTTAATGCCCACCTACCTATTGAAATGGTCTCAACTGGTAAGTTGACATAAGACAAAACACAAAATCTTCGCAAAAAATGAACTTAGAGGAATTCTGGAAAGTGAAAGAATATTGGGCCTCCAGGAAGTCACTGTAGCCCTGACCATTCACTTTGATCCCTGTTCTGGAGGGTCACTTCCTTTCAGGGTAAAATGGATGGTTATCCTTCCCAGGTGTCACTATAGATGTCTGCCACCCCTACTCACTATTGCCTAGGGGGAGGAAGGCTGTGGTGTCATTTTGTGTCCTTGGCATGCTGCTGGCAACACAGCATTCATTGAATGAGTGAATGTGTTTTTGAACTGAACTGGAGTCCACTTGCTCAGAACAGCAAAGCCAAACACTGACATTGAGATTACAGTCGGAGAAGGGGAGGCATTTTTTGCAGGGTGCCAAGCAAGGAGAATCAGGGAGCTGGCACTTAAAACCCAAACTCCCAGATGGCTTACAAGTAAGGGCTTTTAATGGCAAGGAGGCAGAGGTTACAGGCAAAGTCATAAATCTATACATCACTCTGACCTAAAAAAGCAGGACATCTCGAAGTGGGGACCCACAGGTCAAAGGTGGATTGAAAGATTTTTTGATTTGCGATTAGTTAAGGAAGCAAAGCATTGTCTAAAAATTTGGGATTAGCCTGGGTGCAGTGGCTCACTCCTATAATCCCAGCATGTTGGGAGGCCAAGGTGGGGGATCACTTGAGGCCAGGAGTTCAAGACCAGCCTGGGCAATATAGTGAGACGCCATCTCTATGGAAAATATTTTAACTAATTAGCCAGGCATGGTGGTACATGCCTGCAGTCCTAACTACTTGGGAGGCTGAAGCAGGAAGATTGCTTGAACCCAGGAGTTTGAGGCTGCAGTGAGGTGTGATTGCATCACTGCACTCCAGCCTGGACAACAGAACAAGACTTTGTCTCTTACAAAATACTTTTTTTTTTTTTTAAATCAGCAGAAAAGAATGTTAGCTCTGGCTTGTAGGTGTGACATCCTCCAGAGCCCTCAGGAAGAAATTTAGAAAAAAGAAAAGCCATCAGAGTTCAATCCTCTATTTTCTCTTATCTGAGGTCTACATGCCAGCAGATCCATTTGTTTGGGGTCTGGGTTTTTAAAAAGCAATTCAGGGACATATGATCTCTAAGAGGGGTCCCTGCTGTGTCTCAAATGAGTGAATGAACAAATGATTTACTCTATAAGCCCTTACCCAGAGAAACAACAGATATACTCTAAGAATACCTACATGGAATGGGACAAGAGGTATTTTCTCATCCAACTTGGCTGCCGAGCTTAAGTTGTGTATTCACTGTATGGTCTTCCCCAAAAGTCTGTGCTTCCATGAGTGAACGCTTTGTAAATGACACCCCTGCTGCCTGAGCCCACATCTCCATCCTTCGACCCCCAATCAATATTTTTCTGTGCTCCACTTCTTTCCTACCCCCAACCCACCTGGGTTGCGCCTCTATCCTCTCAGAGCATGGCAACCTAGTGCAGGATGCACGGTGGCATGGAAATGGGTTTAGGGACAGAACTTTCCAGAATCAGAGAAGTAACGAAAAGAAAAAGGACAGAAAGGCAGAGCTAGAACTTTGTGAAGAAGCCATAAATGAGCTTGTTTTCATTTCAACGTGTTATAATGGCTACTTTAATTCATTTGATAATGAATACTCAACTGAGAATGCTTTCTAAATTTAATTTTCTGAGCCTCAGTTTCCTCATTAATAAAATAGGGATAAAGCATCAATCTTTCATTAGCTTTGTAGTGATAATTAAATAAGAGAATAGACTCAGAAATATTTTATAAACTGTAACTCATTATGTGGCCGGGAACCGTGGCTCACGCCTGTAATCCCAGCACTTTGGGAGGCTGAGGCAGGTAGATCACTTGAGTCCAGGAGTTTGAGACCAGCCTGGCTAACAAGGTGAAAACCTCGTCTCTACTAAAAAATATGAAAATTAGCTGGGTGTGGTGGCATACGCCTGTCATCCCAGCTACCTGGGAGGATGAGGCAGGAGGTAGAGGCTACAATGAGCTGGGATCGCACCACTGCAATATAGCCTGGGCAGCAGAGTGAGCCTCCTGTTTCAAAAACAAAACAAAACAAAAAACTATAACTCATTATATAAGTATAATAATTATTATTCTATAAATATCTCACTACTCTTGATCTTGAGAAAAAAAAACCTTTATATTATGAATTAACTGGTTGTTTAAAACAAATTGAACTCTTTTCTCCTCCTTCTCTTCGTCATTCTTTTCCCCCAATTGATCTAGAAAACTAACTTTATAATTGTATTATCTACCATCGCTTTGTATTACTGCCCACCTGTTCTCCGGCTGTTTCGCATAGTTGAAATAAGACAGTATATAGGTGAGGCCTGCAAACTGTAAAAGGCTGTACACATTAAGGTGGAATTTTAGCGGCTCTGTGCATTGACTCCAGGAACTAGGAAAAAGCCACTTCAACTGCAGTGCAGCATCACCCAGGGGTGAGCCAGAGACTGACTTAGGACTCAAGGTGAATGTCGACGTTTTTGGCCATAGAAATGGAGAGCAAGTCCTGAAATTGTTGGGGGTTGAGTAATCCAGCACCTGTGCTTGGTGCTGAGTTTCTGGTAGGAGTATTCACCCATCAGTGGCCTAGCAGATTGAGTCCATAGTCTTGCTGGTCTTGAGATGGCGGGGGACTCACCGCACCTGTGGGGCTTTTCCACTTTACTACTCTGGGTGCCAGATGCTGTCTGCCAGGCCATGGAGCAGATGGCCAGGGCTGCGAGGAAGCAGGATATGGACCTGTGAGAGGGGTGTGTGTGGAGATTTGCAGCTCACACGAGAAGTCCAGACCTGCAAACCCAAGAGGCCAAGTGCAGATGTGAAGAGGGTAGAGGAGTCGCCTCATCCCTTCAAGACACGAGTGGCAAAATTCTACCCAAAAATCAAAAAAGAGCTTTGACCTTTTTGCACAGGCAAAAATGATGGCATTCAATTCCAGGAGAGGATGAGTATGTGGCAAGGAAGAGGAGCTGGGCAGCAGGAAACAGATGGTGGGTTAGGCAGTCCTCCCTTCAAGGCCTGAGTGGCAAAATTCTACCCAAGAATCAAAAAGGAGCTCTGACCTTTCTGCATAAGCAGAAATGATGGAATTCAATTGCAGGAAGAGATGAGTATGTGGGTTGATGGCCACTGCCACTCAGGATGGTAGTTGCAAAGTTGTAGCCAATCTGAGTTCACGGCTTCAGTAGCCCCTGCAGACATAATGAGAAGTGTCATTGTCAGAGCCAGAAGAGATGTGGGGACGAAGCAAACCTTTGGTGTCCATCTGTCATAGGCCAATCTGGGGACAGAAAGGAAGCAGCATGCAAAGGCAGTTCATGGTGCCATGAAAGGCGGCACAAAGACCTTGGGGCCAAAGTTGGAGACAGCGTTCAGGGAATTAGTGCACCGTAGGTTTTTAAATATAGGTTTCATTATTATTATTTAAATATAGTAAAGCCAACAGATTGGGAAATATCTGCTATTGAAAAGATAGTTTGTTTCTCATAGATCCAGGAAGAGAGAGCATTCTGTGCCATGCCACCTGGGGAAGCACTGGGGTTGGTCAGGAGCAGAGGGGTGGGAGGGCCTGTGAGCAAGAACCTTTATTGTGGTTTCTATAGGAAGGAACTGGCAAGGGCAAACAAGGTTAGGCTTGGCTGGTTTGAATAATTTCAGCATGCTCTGGGGCATGGAGAGGCAGGTGGATAGTGGCCAGGTCATGACAGCTCTCAGGGGAGACGGGGCGGTGGGGGCTCTGGATGGGTTGGTTTGCATATGAAAGACACTTGCAGTTGGTCCTGTACTCTCTCTAGGAAATGGTTAATCTGGGAAGAGCAGTCGCTCTAGGGTCCACAAGGTCCTAAAATGTCAAAGCCTCAGAATAAAGAAAATAAAAGATGCAGTTACTACAGTGAGACTACAGAATTTTGTTTAGGAGCGATAAGGAGAAATCCTGGAGAAAGCTGGCAGAGAGGAAATGACAGAAAGAGTGTGGCCAGAGTGAAGTCGTGGCTCAGCCGCTGTGTCGGCCTCCCTACCCAACAAGGGTGGCCCCTCTCATGAGGCCTGCGTGCCCTCTCAGCCAGCCACGTGCAGCGCAGCCGGCTGTGATTTGTCCGGGACTGCTGTTCAGATGCAGAATGGGTGGAGGCAGGACATTTTTATGCAGCCATTTGATTAAATGACCATTACTGAATATAAACACATTTTTTGTTGTTGTTAATAAGATTCCAAACTCATGTGAACGTCATTTTGTGTATAAGTGAATCATCAGTGGCTGCAATAATTTTTTAATTTTTTAAAACTAGAATCAGTATATAATTTATAAAATTTTATAGTTAGCAGTACCCTAAACTTTACATCATCCAAGCCTGTCTTTTTATGTATGAGGAAGCTAAAGCGCAGAGAGATCATGTGTAGCGCTGTTAACAGGAAAAACAAACTCTGTGAAGTGTTTGATTCTGAGCCAATATGAGTGACCATGACCCAGTGAAAATACAATCCCGAGAAGCCTTCAGTAAGTGGTTCTTGTGGTGGTCAGATTACAGTTGATTTTACACATTTTAGGGAGGCAGAAGTCAGGCAAAATCATAAATCAATATATGGAGGGTGGCCAGGCACAGTGGCACATGCCTGTAATCCCAGCGCTTTGGGAGGCCAAGGCAGGTGGATCCAGTTTCATGTATTCTTATGTAAGAAACAGAATACAGACTAATACAACTGGTTACTAAAGCTGAATTTCTACATCTCTATGAGCCAGAAGTTCCATTTGTAGGTACAGACCCAATAGAAATGCATACAAATGTGCATCAAAATGCATGTAAAAGAATGTTCAAAGCAACATTTTTCATAACGGTGCAGACCTGAAAACTACTTAAATGTGCATCCACAATAGAATAGATAAGTCCTCTGTGGTGCAGTCCCCCAGTGCACTACCCAGCATCAAGGACAGCAAACTGCACCCACCGACAGCAGGACTGACCCTCACAAACACAATATTGAGCCAACAAGCCACACACGAGAGTCATATAAAGAACAAAAGCAGGTGAGACCAACCCAGGGTGTTAGAAAGCAGGATGAAGCAAGGCTACCCTTGCTGGGAAAGGCGCCGGTGACTGTGGGCTGGGGGGCACCCGGGTGGACTTCTGCTTCTTGGTTTCTTGACGTAGGTGCTGGCTACACAGGCAACTCTGTTGATGAAATTTACCAAGCTGTATACTTACGCTCTATGTAAATTTCTATATGTATATTGTAATTCAATAGATGTTTTTAAAAAGAAGATACGGTTTTAAAATGATATAGGATGTTCTGATGCTGCTGCTGCTGAGGCATGAGATTCTGATGCAGTTTAATAAGCAAAGAGTGAACTTTTGTGTTTTAGCTGGATGAAAGTTTACGAAAAATTGTGGGGCGTGGTGGTATGCCTACAGTCCCAGCTACTTGCGAGGCTGAGGCAGGAGGACAGCTTGAACCCTGGAGTTTGAGGCTGTAGTACGCTATGATCAATCACTCCGGCCTGAGAAACACAGTAAGACTCTATTTCTAAAAACAAAACAATTCTTTAGCTATTTTTAGTATCTCTCTCAGTATCACCCTCTTCAGGGGAAGACAGCAGGTTTGTATGTGTGAATGCATCCTCTTTGCAAATTCATTCAGCTCAGTTACACAGAACCTGTGACACTTTCTCAAGATGACTAGCTGCTTTGGGGTGATGCGTACAGGTTATCTGGGGGACACAGAAATCTGTCACATTTGACCACCTCACCCCTGTAGCCGAAAGAATTTAGAATCCCAGCTTGGTCTGGGCTGCACTCTCTAGGGACAGAGCTTGGAGAGGTAGGAGCTGCGTGCTCAGGCGACACCTCCTCCCTGGACTCCGTCCAGCTGCAGTACCTGCTGCCTGCAGCAGACCAGGCTGAGCTGTTCCCATTGGACACACCCTTAGAGCCCTGGACTCCTCAGCGGGTGCTCCACAAGGGGCCTCCAAAATGCAGGATCTCACTAAAGTCAAAGAAAACCAGGAATTTCAGAGACTAAGAAAAAAGAGGAATGCTCCTCTGAAGTGAATCAGTCCCTGAAATCCAGCCCATATTCAACGAGGTATGTACGTAAGCATGCTTTGTTTGAAGGATCCTACTTTAAAAAGGCAAATTTGTATA